AAAGGCTACTTTTAGTCTCATGAAGTCATATTTTTTACCTATTTTAGAATTATATGTATTAAATACGTCATAGTAATAATAAAATGGAAGCAAGTTTCAAAATTTTTTCGATGACAACTGCATATAGAGATCAATTCTCATGTGAAACCATACCAAGCTCAGGGGCGTAGTCAGGGGAGGGGGGTGCACACGGTGCCCGGGCACTCCCCTTGGCCAAAAAACGCGTGGAAGAGAGTACGAGTGAAAAATTTTTTGGAGAAAGAGAAATTTATTTTGTTGCTTGTGTGCACCCCCAATAATGAGTCGGCACTCCCCTTGGAAAATTTCTGGCTATGCCACTGACCGACCTCCATGTCTTTGTCATTAACAAAGTTATATAAGTTCACGTGTACGTAATTCTCGGCTACAAATACAATAGGATCTTAGTCTAACTGCACCTATGTAGCTGAAATATTTACCAAAAAATTCCCACTAATGCGACTTATTTCTGAAAATTCACCCAACATGACTATAGTACGTGGTATATCTATTATGAAAAGGCAGCTAAATATACATACTTGAAACTTCGGGTGCTCAGCACCATAATGTTGTATCCGGAAGCCGAAGATCAGATTTTCAATAGCGTCGCCGGATTCTTCCATTAAAACCCCTATTATCCATTTCAAAATACAGTGTTCACCACTGTTTTTGAATAACTCGAGAACGCAAGCAGCTCGAGACCTGCGGTTTTCACCAATCGAAACAGGAGATTGGGAAACGTCTTTTTCTTCAATAATGTATACGAAAAAATTCTATTAAAACTAATTATTTTCGAAAAACATGTAAAAGAAGGCATGAAAATGACCCGTCACCTAGATGAAATTTGGATTTTGACCTTTGATTTAGATAGAGGAACTTCAAATCTGTAGTTTCAGATTACAATGCACATTGGTTCTCTGATTACATTCTAACGTTGAGCAAATTGAGTCATGTGTTTACATGCGCAAATAAAAGGGATTTTTGCTAATTTTTACTAAGTTTTCTCACTTTTTATCATAATAGCTTGATATTTCGATGGAAATATAATGAAAAGTAAGGAAACGCATTATATCTTGAACTATAGATTTGAAGTCCCTCTATCTAAATCAAAGGTCAAAATCAAAATTTCATCTAGATGACAAGTCATTTTTATGCCTTCTTTTACATGTTTTTCGAAAATAATTAGTTTTAATAGGATTTCTTCTTATACATTATTGGAGAAGAAGACGTCCCCCAATCTTTTCTTTTGATTGGTGAAAACTGCAAGTCTCTAGCTGCTTGCGTTCTTGAGTTATTCAAAAAACAGTGGAGAACATTATATTTTGAAATGGACAATAGTAGAATACAAGAAATTAAAAAAGATATGATGTATGACTTTTCTCTTAACTTACCCCGAGGTGTATCATAGTCATCATCGAGATTACAACTGCATTTATAGAAAGCCAATGTCCAAGCTCATGAAGTATCGTAAACAAAACGATAGCAGCATATTTTTCTTGTTGATTTATATTATCTGCCAACTTTGAACACTCTAATATCTAAATAAGAATGACAGATGTACGGAAACTATGTCCAAGAGAAAAATATCGAAAAAAGTAAAGTCTTTAATAAATAGTGACACGTAAGTATCTATGGTACATTGTTACTTTTCTTATGATTCTACTAGTTTAGATTTGTAACCAATAATGCCTTTACTAGGTTTATTATGTCTAACAACTTCAACTGGATCACCTTTTTTTTGTACTACCACGTTCAACATGTCCAGTAACAATTCCTCTTTTGTCTATAAGAAGAATAAATGACCTAAGATTTTTTTTTTAATATTAAATGCTTCATTCGGTATTGAATAAACATGTCCAACAGGTAATAAAAATGGTTGAGATTAGCAGCTCTTGGTAGTACAGGAATGTATGTATTGACAGCTTCAAATATTTTTAATATCGTTTCTTTACCTCATTTTGGATCTCGATCCTAAAATAAAGTTTCTGAATCGAAAACAAAAAATAAAAATCTTATCAACAAACTTCAAGTGCACATAATGCAGAACCTGGAATAATTGGCGTATGTTCACTATCGAAACCAATTTGCGTTAATAATTCACATAATTCAAGTTCAATCTAAAAGATTTTAAACAAGTATGTCTCGATGACAGGAGTCTTGTTTTTTCTAGACTTCTATTGTAAATTACTTAACGAAATTTTTATGCTCCTATAGACCATGTTCTGAGTATGGGCCTAAGCAATTCTGTCTTTTTGTCAAAATTCTGCTTAATTCGAATCTAGATAATAAATACATTTGTTGAAGTGTTACTTTCTACCCGATTGAAGTGTTAATAAATAAATGAAAAATAGCGTCCTGCGCGATTAGCAAGATCATACCCACGAATATTACATTGCATCTAAAGAAATAATCTGGGAAAAATAACTTATGAAAAATGTATAAGTTCGGTGCTTCTATACTATGTGTACCGCCCGACTAATTGACATATATAAAGGAAACAGTTAACGGGTAGAAGTGTGGGTGAGAGAGGGCGGTGCATATTGTGGAGAAGTACTACCTCTTCAGCTAACGGTATGATTGAATGAGTATGATAAACCAATAAAATTTATTTATTTTTGTCATTCTGCAACTTCATACAAATAACACTACTTAACATCGAATGACAGACGAGGATTGAATAAAATTCTAATGGTAGAACATAAAATCTTATTGATCAAATATTATCCAATAAAAAACAATCTATATTCCGTCTGTACGTGTGTCGGCTGATGACGAGGCGTATTCAAAGAAATAAGTACGAAATCAGTAGATACTAAACAAAGCAAAAACATTACATAAGATTTTTTTTTCCAAATATTGTGATTAACTATTTCTTATTTATTTATAGAATGCCAACGGCATTTCGATATATTATTGCTGTTTATTTTTCATCAATGTAAATGAACTATTTAGTTATTTTCAAAAAAAAAAAAAAATTCAAAAATTTCTTTTTTTATTCTAGTTGTCGTTTTGTTGTCGATGGGCCAGTGTATTGAAAAAACTCGTTCAGAGAGAAGATTGATGTCACATAATAATAACAATAATAATAATCACTTATCAGTTTCAACAAAACACGTTAAAAAAAAAGCTAAACAAGACGCATCTGAACAACAATCAAATCAATATCGTCATTCATATAGACAAATGAATACAACAACTACAACATTAGAACCCCGTCGTGATTTACCATTGCATAAAATTCCTGAACTCCTTGCTAAAATAACTGGAACATTATCATCTACTCTTTCATCGTCATCATCATCAGATACAAAACAATCATCATCATCAACATCTTCATCTTCTAATGCGAATTCAAATTCAATTGATCGTCGTTTACAATTATTTAAACATTATTCTGATGATGAACAAATAATGTCTGTTGATGGTATACTTCGTCTTTGTAATGATTTATCTATTGAACCTGATTGTTATGAAGTACTTTTATTTTGTTTCGCATGTCGTGCTAAACAAATGTATTCATTAACGAAAGATGAATTTCTTCTTGGTCTTAAAACACTTGGAAATCATATTGATAATTTATTAGATCTTCGAACATCATTATTTAATTATGATATATTACCATATGAAAATGAATTTTATATTTGGACATATCATTATGGTTTAATTGATGGACAACGTTGTGTAACAACACAAAATGCTATTAGTTTATGGCGTTTATTTTATTCAAAAGGCATAAAAAAACCTCAACTACTTGAACAATGGTTAAACTATTTAGAACAAGATATACATAATGAAATACCAAAAACTATAACATGTGATACATGGACAATATTTCCACAATTTGCTAAATTTATTGAATTGAATGGATATAAAGCATATGATGATAATGAAGCATGGCCATGTTTATTTGATGGATTTGTTGAACATCAATTAGAACAACAAAAAGCAATATCATCAACTTCAATTGATTAATATTATTTACAGTGATCAATTTTTCTTTTTGCAAATATCTTTTTCTTTTATCTTTTGAAAATAAACATTAAAAAAAAAAACTAGAACAATTTTTTGTTGTCTTTTATTTGTTTGGAATGTCATATTAGTTTTTTTTGACTTTGATAAGATTTGACAAAGAAAAGACACTAGAGATAAATTATATAGATTTACATCTTTTCTTTTTCTCAAACTATGATTTTTCTTTTCTTCAAATTAGAAAATGTTCCCTGACATTTTATACGATAATCCGATAAAAACGCTTGCGACATGAAATTTTATTCTTATGTTGATCTCCGGAGATACTCGAAAAAAAATTCCGTCCAATCGTACACTTTCGCCTCAAAGTGCTAAATTTGTTAGCAAACCCGCTGTCATTAGATAAGTATAGTAGTCATATATTATATTTAAACTCTTTCATATGGTTGTTTTCGATATATAGAACTTATTTTAGTCTCATTGAAGCCGAGAATTGTGTTTCCAAGCGAAGTGACATTCCATTGTAAGACATCAATATCATAAGAAAATGATCCCCTTAGGGTTTTTTTTTTATAATAGAAAAAAGCATTTATCATTGTTGTCGATTTAATTAGGGATATAATTGATTGTTTCGAAGTATTTTACAGATGAAAATATTCTCGGGAACAAAATAGTAGTTTGTTGATCAATATTCTTAACAAAATGGATTCCATATGATCAGATAGTCAATATATTTTGAGGAATAGTTTTATTTTAAATCTTAATTCAAATAAAATAAAATCCATCAATTCAAATCTTGACATGAAAAAATACTTTTAAGTCTTATAAAAATAAAATTTTGTATACATCTCCTTGACCTTGTAATTTTTTTTTTTCGATCATACTTCTATATGATAAAAATCATTTTTTTTTCTTCTAATAGTTTCATGGTGTGAAATCGATTGGTAGTCTATTGATTATAATGAGTCATCCAAATTGGTATTAGTTTTAACAAAAAAAAAAATCAATAATTATTCAGTTAGATTTGTATCGGTTTTTTTTTCTTTTTCTTTGATTAAATGCATAGAAGCCGTTGGTTCATATATGATGACTCATATTTTTTTTTACTTCCACTTTTTTTTCTCGTTCTAGATGTAACATTCTTTTATTTTATTATTCAATCATTCAGATAGTGTGAGAAAGAGTAAGTTACTTCAGAAATAGTATGAAAAAATAGAATATATGTATATATATATTAAATTCATTATGTTTTATCGTAGTGAACAAGCCATCCCTTAAATTTAATTTAAAACCATTGAATTTTCAAGAATCACCAAAAAATAATACAGAAAAACCACCTTCCGATTCGACAGATACTACTCGTATACCGTAAGTAATTTCTTTTTTTTTCTATTATTTAAAATCTATTTGATCAATAATTTTATTTCTATAGAAAGATATAATCGATAAAAAATTCGATTATCTTATATGTAATAATGAACAGTAAACGATTCATATACAACAAAAGGAAAATAATAATTGAGAATGGAATAGAAATAATAATTGAGATAATAAGAGATAATTTCAAAGTGATTATTTTACAAGAATTGTTATATTTAAACAAAATGTTTGAATATCAAGTATTAATATTCATCATAAAATGATTATTTCGAGTTATAAAATTTTTGTTCTCTCAATGTTTGATTTGATTAATTTGTAAGGAAAGACTTAATGTTTTCGATAAAATTAATATACAGTTAAATACAACTGTGCTCACAAAAAACCAGTAATTCTGTGATGAATCATCTAATGAGTAGTATTTTATTCAACGTGGGATCTGAAGAGGCGGTGCTCCTCCGAAGATTGGGTTGGCCATCACGGAATTTATTGTTATCGTGTCTGTGCTCCAAAAACTAGATATTCGCTCTCCTGGAATTTTAGATTACCACTTCAGGAGAGAAAATCTGGATAAAATATTGCTAACGAGAGAATGTTTTCAACTGACCAATCACTTTCTCACCGAAAGCCAGTAGATTGCAGACTACAGAATATGACTATGAAAAATTTCTATGCGTTTTTATTGATTGGTTTTCCAGACTAACAAACCTTTTTTTTTTATTTGTCCAGATTGTGAAGTATATCGAATTGCCTAGGAAAGAGTAACTCTTCCTGTTTTAAACCATTATTTTTCAGCAAATACAACCATTTTAATTCATACAATATTTTAATATGAAATCTTCAAGATGATATTATTTTACTTAAAACTCGTTTTTAGAAAACAAAAAAGTTTTTTTGTATCTTTCAGACGATTCGATCTGCTCTATAATCTGAGTAGATCTAAAATGATTTTAGCAAAGATTTTATTAGTTTGAAAAGCCAGCATGCAAAGACCTGCAGGAATTTCTTATGGTCATTTCGGAAGTAGCATGATCGATAGCCTACAATCCAATTGCTTTCAGTGAGAAAACGATTGATCAGTTGAAAACGTTTTACTCGTAAGAGATAAATAGTTTCTTTCAAAGAATAAGATTCTCTACAAGGGAGAGAAAATAGTAAAAGTAACGTTATGGTAGCATTTGTTACTTGAATTCATGATTATATATTTTTAAAATACAAAATAAATAATCTCTTAATATGTATAAAATTTGTTAAAATTCTTGTTTATCTAACTGAATCATGAAGAAATCAAAATTTTTTATTATTTGTTTTTGTTTAATAGTAGTCGACCAACTTCATCAACATCAAGTCATCGTGATCTTAGTACTGGCAAACTTCATTTGTCTGATACAAAAGTTTGTCTTTTTTTAAAATTACTAGATTCTTATTTTCTATATTTTTCAAGGTATATAAATTTACATCAAATGATTTAATTGATCGTGGTGTTATTGGAGAAGGTAATTTTGGAATTGTTTGTAAAATGGAACATGAAAAAAGTGGAACAATAATGGCTGTGAAAGTAAATTAAATTGAATTCATCTTGATTTTTAATGAAAATTTCTAATTTCTCTTTTGTCTATATTTTTAGCGAATTCGTTCAACTGTTGATGAACGATGTCAAAAACAAATGCTCAATGAATTAGATATTGTCATGCGTGAAAATACTTGTCCACATATTGTAAAATTTTATGGTGCTCTCTTTAAAGAGGGAGATTGTTGGATTTGTATGGAATTAATGGATACATCACTTGATCGTTTTTATAAATATGTTTATCATAAACTTCATCAATGTATACCTGAAAGTGTTCTTGCTTATATAACTCTTGCTGTATGATTATCTTATATTAGTATTTAAATTAATTTTTTTTTTCTATCGAATTTTCTTCTTCTAGGCTTTAGAAGCGCTTGATTATATAAAATCTCGTTGGCAAATTATTCATCGAGATGTAAAACCATCAAATATTTTAGTTTCTCGAACGACGATTAAACTTTGTGATTTTGGTATTAGTGGTCAATTAATTGATTCAATTGCTAAAACACGTGATGCTGGTTGTCGACCATATTTACCAGTAAGATTCGTTTCATTTCTTTTATTTAAATATATTCTCATATATTTAGCCTGAACGTATCGATCCAATACGAGCTACACGTGATGGTTATGATGTTCGATCTGATGTTTGGTCTCTTGGCATTACTATTGTAATTTTTTTTTTTTTTATAAAGGAAATTATAATGAAAAAGAAATATATAAATATATATTTTATAGTATGAAATTGCCACGGGATATTTTCCATTTCGAGAATGGACATCTGTATTTGATCAATTACAACAAATTGTCGAAGGTCCTCCCTTACGACTTAGCGTTGATCGTCTTTCAAATAATTGCAAAGATTTTGTAAATACATGGTAATAGAAATGTTGCCTTTATTTTTTTTTATTTTTTTTTATTAAAATTTTATCTAATTTTATTTTATTTTTTTAAATTTAGTTTGAATAAAGATGAAAATCAAAGACCAAAATATAAAAAATTATTAGAACATGAATTTGTACGAAAAGCAACAACATCACAACAAGCTGAAAATGCAGCAGATTATTTTTCTGAAATAATTGATGGACTTTCAGAAAATACGGATACATTTGAACTCTATTATTATTTACCGTCTGATTCCTCAGCAACATTAACTCCTCGGTGACTAAATTGTGCTATTGAATGAATTTCACTTTTCTTGACTATTTATTTGTATTTCAAAGTAGACAGCAAGTCAAAAACAAAAAAAAACTTTATTTGTATCGTCCTTTTTCTTTCTGCTGTATTTTTTCACCAAGGAAGTTTTTCCTTGTAGGATTCTTTATTCTCGCTTATTTCATATTGATGTTGTCAATCGGTGGTTGTTGTTATTTCCATTCTTTGATAGAACAATTCTTCTTCTTTTTTTTTTTCTGCGATGCTCTATTTGTTGTGTTTATTTAAAGGTAATGTTTGATGAATATCTACTACAAAACAAAGAACAAAAACAGACAAAAAAATGTCATTCCATAATTAATTAGTAAAAGTTTAAATGAATATTTATTGTTATTTGTCTTTATTGGATGAAGTTTTCGTAGAGAACTTAGAGCTCCATCTACAAATGCAACGTCTGAAATACTCTTACTTATGCATACAAATAAACAAAGACTTATATTTAATTGAGCAATAAAATAATTTAAATGAACAATAATGAAATTCAGCAATAAAAAAAATAAGCAATGATGAAATTTAGCAATAATTATATGGAATGAGCAATAATTATATAGAATGAGCAATAATCTATTTAAATTAAAGGTAAATTTTACATAAAAAGGGTGTTATAGTGTGACTCACTTATATAACTTTTTTTTCCTTTCTTCTCTTCTACGATGTCGTACAGATGACAAGTACGACACATATATGTCGGAGTTGACTTTAAAATATTTCATAATCAACTAATTTTCTTTTAAATTCAACTAATTGCCTTTAAAAGCGGATTCAATTTTAAAATCAACTCCGATATATACATATACCTTATGTTTTCTTTCTCTTACTTGGATATTTCTCTTCTCTTGATATT